TTTTGAAAGTCAGCTCCACACTAAGGAAAGAATGTGGATCACAAGATGAAAGTGGCTGGCTGGCTTTCTCTGTGTTTGCTGTATGATGTTAAATCAATGGTCCAGAATTTATTAACTTTTATTTTAAAACTAAAAAAAATTCCTCTCAGTAATGTGTTCATCTGACACTGTTTTATTTAGTATTTGGTTGGAATAGGATTCTATCATTATCAGAGATCTTTCTTTCTCACTTGTTTGACAGAATGAAAATATTGTAGTCACTGACAGCATCTTAATTTCACCCACAAAATGCATTTTATGAAGGTAACACCTAATTCTAACAAAAATAAGGACCCATCAACAGTCATAAAATTGAAAAAAAAAAAATCATCTTCATCTGTTTGTTTTTCCTTGTTTGTTTTTCATGTTCCCAACCTGTCAGTTAGTGGTGATAGGACTAAACAGAGGCAAGCAAGGAAAGCAAATTTAGCTGTGAAGCCCTGTCAGTGAATTATCTTTTTTTTCCATCGGAATAATATATGTGCTGTCACACATCCGCAGGTTTGCTGTTAATTCAAACCTTTTCTGCCTGACTGAATTAAAACAAAACAAATAAGATGGACAGGTTGTAGAGGTGAACCTACATGCACAGTTCATATATGGACTCTAATATATAAGGCATAAATTACAGAATCGGTAAGTTACCTTAAAATTGTTGTAACCTTTCCAAATAAGGTCATACTGTGGAACTTGTGTGCACAGTCAAAAATCAGAAAGGACAGTATTTGGACGATTTCCATCAGCATCTACTGTTTTTCAGACTTCTTATATGTTACTTACTAAAAAGTCACCTATGGTAGCTTCACAAGCAAACAGTTTTCTATGCTTTTCGAGGAGAAGTTGCTAGTATTTTTCATACTTATTTGTTGCACTATAGGAAATGTTTTTTAAAGTAAATTCCTTAAAGATGTGAGGATATTGTTATGAGGACCACAATGTTCACTCTTAGGGCACATCAAATATTGGTGAAGGGGAAGTAGAAAGAATGAATACAACTTTTTTGTTCTGTTTTTGTTTTTGCTAGCACTATATTGAATAATAAACAGAACATTTGGTTATATCCTGTTTTCCTAAGAAGAGCCATCTGCTTTTAGAGTCGGGTGGGTTGCATTACTGGCCTGTTTTGTGACAAGCTGCTAGCTGAGCTGAATAAAATCAGATGTTGGTTAAAGTTCACCAGCATGAATTCTATCAGATACTTTGATTTTGTTCATAATCCCAGTAGATGCCTAATCACAGAAGTCTCATCTGAATTACTAGAACTACTATATCAGAGACAGTGTCTTAGCGCCATGTCCAGACCTTTTTGTGTCAAGGAGTTCACTGGTCTGCTTATTTTCATATTGGCCTCTTAGCTTGTGTTTGCCTTATATCTCCACCAATAGTATTTCTTTTTCCTCAGTAATATACATTAAGCCACTTGTCCTTCCTGATTTCTTACACTCCTAATTCACTGTTGTCAGCTGCCTTCTGAGGTGATCAGAAAACAAGAAGAAACACAAAACAGTGCTCTAGTTTACTGTTATTCCTGTACTCTGCTGTTGAATAATGTTTTAACTTGCATTTGTACCTTCTGAATGTTTATCTCCCAGATGTCTTAAGAAAAAATATCCTTACTCTTTGGGTGAAGAATTTTGCAGAGAAAATGCTTTTGCTCCAATGACTCAGATTCATGAAATATGCTGTCCTTCCTCAGAATCTGGTTCTGCAAATGCATGCACACATGCATATGATTTCCAGTGTACTGCTTTTGCCACTGTTCTTGCTAGAACTGAACATACGCATCCATGTCCATACTTGAGATCATGCAAAAACAAAGACCTCTCTCCCTCCCTCTGACCTGTCATTGCATGGTGACAACAGATGTGAGGCTTCTGAAATTTGTCAGCCTCTGGACAAAGCAGAAATCTTGCTCTTGGCAAGTAGTCATCTTTACGTATTTTCTGTTACATTTCAACAAACCTTGGCTAAACCTGCAAATTCTGTGAAATGAAATACTGCCTAAATTAGCCTGGTAGGTACAACAGATGTGTTCTTCATTTTCTGTAGGAAAGTATGACATGGGAGTTTGAGATGCTAAAGAGAAATAGGCTTATTTGATGACTAAACCAGTTCAAATTTACATGAGATGAATTAAATCTTTGATGCTATCAGCAAGTAAAAGAATATAGTTAATAGCTTTCTGCAAGTCATTTCTTCAACTGCCTAACTTGTCCTAAGTATTTTACCTTGTTTGGTCCTCAATAGTGTGTATTTTTGCTGGCACCTGTATGTTGCATAAGACCTCTATATAGAACTCAACTGGATGAATTTTATCTGCTGTTCAGCATGCAGTAGTTTACAACAAAGCTAGCCATGCCTTGTTAAATATTCATAAAAATAAGGATTTCTGATTAACTGAAAAAATCCCCTTGATCTCAGCAGCAGAATTTATGGTTTCAGTATTCCATTCAATAATAAATAGTTACTTCTCTAACAGTTGCATAGATAATGATAAGTAAACTGAACTTTAATCTTTCAGGTAACATTCTGTTGCTTCTGAATATTTCCCTATATTTGTTTTATGATTATTAATATGCATGATAAAACCAGAATGTCCGTGAAACGTTTTTACAGTTATGAAAAAAGAGTGGAGACATGTTACTATGTGGAAGTCATACTTTTGAGAGCAAGTGAAATAATGGTTAGGATTATAATTGGACTTCTAACATTCATCTGGGTAATTGTTGCCAAAACCCATCTTGTAGCTATGCAAAGCATGGCAGATGGTCCTTTCTGATATCTCAAAAAGTACAGTATAACCTTCTTACCTGATGCTTTGCTAATCCTCATTCTTTATGAATCTGCAGAAAAAAATTGGCAGCGTTTTCACTTCCACTGAGCAGAGATTTAAGATTAGGAAAAAGTGCTGAGAGAACAATTCATGTATTGCTGGGGATGTCATTATTTTTAGAGTAGGATACTTAGTGGGACAAAGTACAGTATTAGATAGCTGACATGTGTGACATACGTCCTTATTTTCTGTTCTGCTTTTGTGCCTGATAAATTTCTAAGCTTGGTACAATATATGGACAACTCTGTAGGTACTGAGAGTATACACTTTCCACACAGAATTCTTCTTCTGTATTGCAGAACCAGCTTTTGGGTTTTTATGGGATGGAGCATTCACAACTTCCCTGGGCAACCTGGAATCTTATGGTAAGGACATGACAATAGCAATCTCCTGAGAATGCCTACATAGAATTTGTTTGATATTTAGGCTTCTTTCCATGGCTCTGGGTAGATATATGACCTTTTTTTTCCATAATGTCTAGCACTATGCTAACTTTTTGACATTTGACAGTTGTTTTTCCTAATGTTTAGACAGACTATTTGTGTTGCAGTTTCAGTTAAACACATTCTATTTTGTTCTTGTCCTCACTGAGAAGTCAGAATAATCGATGCCTGTCTTTTTATAACATCCGTATTGTTACTTCCTGACAATTATGTCTTCCCTGAGCTATCTTTTCTTGAGTCTAAGCAAGCTTTTTTATCATCAGCTTCACTTTCCTAACTTTTAATCACTCTCTGTCATTCAAGGTTGTGAACTCTCTCACTTTGTTCATTCTCTTTTTGAAGTGTGATGAAAATGTTGAAGCTGGGTCCTTAACAGTATAAAATAAAGGAAAATATACTAATTGCTGATCTTACATATAATATCCTAGTAATACTATTCAAGCCTTGCATTTGCTTTCTTGTTGCCTGTTTTGAAGTTGAGATAGTTATCCTCTGTTTTCTGCTGTTTCTTTACATCTCATTATTTGTCTCTATTTAAGTGCCTGTGTATATTTTTATCAACTACATGATTGATGGCAGTCTATTTTTTCAATTTATCAAGCTCATATTATTATTCCTTTCCTGAAATATACTTAATGTTTCATTTCCCAACCTTTAAATAATTCATAAATTTGATTAGCTTATTGCCTCCTTTCAATTCTCCAATTTAAGCCTTTATTTGAATCCCAAGAATTCCTAAGTAGCGTTTTCAAGGTCCAATTCAAAACTCAGTAGCCCAATGTGGCTTCAGTCATTAATATTTCACTATTCTAGGCTCTGCCATAAATGCGCCATTGCCAGATGCACTGATTTGTCGACTGGTTGCACTTTTCCATGATCTTTACATGTATCTGAAGGCTGTTAAAGGTAGTTACTAAAACTTCCTGAGGAGACAGCATGATACATGTAATCTTCTGTCAGTGTCAGATTGACTAAAAAAGTAAGCTGAAAGCTGGATACAGGTAGAGGAACAACATGGTCTAGTAAATCTCTATTTTGCCTCCTTTGTCTAGACACTGTTCATTTCCTGCTCAAAGACCTGTAATGTTGCACTGTGATAGTAAAGTCTGTCTTTTGTAGTTCTCCATTCCTCAACCTCCTGTAGCACTGGGTTGTGGAATTCTTGGGTAGCTGGAACCAAAAAGCCACCAGGAACCCAGGGTGTCTCCATTGTGAGCAGCAGTCACTCTTCCATATGTTACTGTCTGTTGTTGCTCCCCAGCACTGTTTTAGGCATAGCAAGGAGCATTCTCAGAGATTCTTGCTTCTCACAATCTTCATCCAAGAGCTGCTTTAGCTGGCCACTCTGGTTCTTCATCCTTTTTTATGAAACCCCAGCTTTATATGGTGATTTTCACAAAAAGGTGGGTCTAGGAAGAGCTGGCACTTTGCATGCAGTGAGAACCTAAGAACACATTTTCCATGGTAGATGAAAAAGAGGGCAGTCCTCTGTGGCCCCTTCTTGGCCTCTTTCAGACAACGCAGGAGTAAAGTAATTATGTGGGGGTTAAAGACTAATCTTCATGCAAACTTCCAATGGTTAATTAGTGTATCTCTGAAGAGTAATCTCACTGACAGTGAGAACAACCTTACTTCCCAGAGAGCCTATTCATTACAGCTGCTGAGCTGCCAGGAGGGGAGCACAGCTATTTCCTCCCTCATCTCTACTAGAGCTTTGCTGCCAGTGGAAAGAGCTGCAGCTGCTACAAAGGAGAGGCAGTAATGCTAATGGGTTTATTCTGTGAACTAAAGTCTGAGGGTCTCCTTCTGTGACTCGATTGTGAAGAAGACCAGGTCAGACTATAATGTGTTATTAGACCTGGTATGGATAATTTGTGTTAGTGCTCTCTTAGTTTTTGGGAGGAGTTTGTGGCATTTTGACTCTTTCTTCAGTACAGATTTCCTTTCCACGCCATGATGACTGAGAGGCTTTGCTGGTCGAATTCTCAGTGCCTTCCCCTCTTTATGGTAGTGCTTACCAATAAATTCTCTCACTAAAGCTACACAAGTCAGTTGTTAAGCAGAGCACTCTTTGCTTTTTCATCCATTTCCTCTTCCATAAATGATTTATTTTGATTTCTTAAGGTTTTCTTATTGTTAAAACTGTGTTAAATGCATTAGGATTTACATACCCTGCAGTATGAAACAGCAAAACCACTAGATACTGTCTTGCCAGCTATTTTTTCTTGTTGAGTCTGAATCTCCAATTGCCAATTAAAGTCTGACTTGAGAGGCAGAACACTTGAGCAAAACAATGTGCTGTGGGACTCAAGAGCAGCTGGAGGAAGGAGGTAAGCATGGCTTAGTTAAAATACACTTTGTTCAGGTGTCTTTTGTTAAACTGAAGTGACAGGTAGTTGGGCTGCTAGCATTAAAACAAGTTAGGTAGATAGGAGGAAAGAAAGGCTAGGCTAACAATAAGAGTTACGCTGGCTTTAAACATCTTTAAAGTAAAATAACAACAAAACCAAGCAAAACAGAAAAATAACAAAGGAATTGGTTTGTTGGGTTGTTTTGGGGGTTTTGGTTTGGTTTTTTTGTTTGCTTGTTTTTGGGGGTTTTTGCTTTGTTGTTTTTTTTTTGACACCAGACATGATTCCCAGGAAATTTGAGCTTCCTGGGCAAAGTTATTCTTCATATTAAACAGGTAGAACAAAAAATTGACAAGGATTTCCCTAAAAAGGAAAAGAGATAAAGAAGTTTTACCAGAAGCTTTGGCAAGTAATTAACACAGGATTTGAGTATAATGCAGTAGAAAAACTTTTCACGTAGCATCTGGGCTGGTTATTTTTTGAAATATCATAGTTATGGCTCCAAAAGTTTGAGAATACCTTTAAGGAAAAAATGCAAAAATCAATACAGCCCTTGGAAAGAATTCTTTGGAGCTTACAGTAGCATAAAGATTAATTTTGGTTTTCTGTATTCTTACAGGTTTTGGTTATTTCCATGTAAATGCCGTAGGACTAGCAATAATACAATTTTCAGGCGAGCATAAGCTAGTTATAAACTAATTCATTTCAGTAGAATTTAGGAATCTAGCTCAATAGAAAATCCCAATCTCATCTGTTTTTAATATTTTTTCCCCTGTTAGCTTAATAATCAGCTCTAATGACAACCTATTTTTTGTGATTCTTTCTGCTGTCTCCCCAGTAAGAAGCTCTATCAATAACTACCTTGTATCGATTAGGAATATAATTCTTGGTATAATAGCTAGAGGTGTTGCCAAACTCCTAACATCACTGGAACATTTTGAGAAGAATGTAACTCACAGATAGTAGGGAGTGTTCTTACACATTTTTCTTAGGCTATGCAGCATTATTTTAGATTTTGATCTTGGAGGAATATCTTTTCAGCCCTGCTTTCTGCCTAGTTTTAGAAGACTAATATTTTCCATCACTCATGTAAGTTTTCTATTAACTTTATTGGAGAGAGTGACCCGGGCCTTCATTCAATAATGTAAGAAGTGCTTACGTTATAAAGAACTATGTAAGCCTTTTCTGACACTTCTGTATGTGCCACAGGTATGCCTGTAGATCAAATTCAGTAGAAGTGTTAATCAGCTAAATATTAGTAATATATGGAAAAAACATGCTTAGTAACATCTCTACTTGATTATGAACTAACTCAAATCTTTCTGCAAAGAAAGGAGTTAAATTTGGGGTCTTTCTATAGCTTTAATTAGCAGCTTAAGCAGTAATGCTTTCTTGCTCTGTTTCATCTTCTGAAATGTTATTTTCAGCTATCTCTGTACTACAATGAAATATGCTTACTGGAAACTTTCCAAGAAATAAAAATTCTTCCTCCTAATATTTGCAAGAGGCAAGCATATAAAATGAATATAAACAAGTTGGAGCAAACATATCACCAGCAAGCATTTATTCCCCCTGTATTTAGTTCGCATGATCAGATTTTCAGGTGCTACTAGAACAGTGAGGATAAGTTTCTTTTAATATATTCATTTATCATATTTTAATCTGATAGCTTTGTTTGAGCCCACATACTCTTCTGCAGTTGAACCTAGAAAAGAATGATACTGTTAGGCCACTGATAAGTCTTAATGGCCCTGATAAGATGTACATGGGAGTCCCATCCACACCTACTGCCACAGGGCTCCATTTAAGCCCAGACCAGGGAGCTGTTTCTTCCCTAAACTATGCTATAGAAGTGCTGGTTTCTGGCCTTGACCCTGGATGCATCTCACCCATGCCCTAAAGAGCTTCTTTCTTTGACAGACCCGTTAGATGTCTCTGGTAGTCTTGTCGCCAGCCTCATCTCTGGCCAAGCCTTCTTTTGTTCTTGGCTGCACCTTGGCCACAGTTCATCCTCTTGCAAGGCCTGGGGCTGTCAATGGAACTTGCTGCTGCTGCCTGACTTTGCCCACATGGCTCAGGTAGTCTGTGCTCCATTGGTAGGGCACTGCCTTAGCTGGAGTCATCTTCCCCTCAGGAGCAGCCTGTTCTTGCTGCTTCCTGACAGATAGCAATTATCTGACTGGTGCGTCAGGAAAAGTTATATTTTTATTCAGAGAAAAGATTAAAAAAAAAATTTTTGGAAAAAAGAAGCTTATCAAATACATTCATTGAACAGGTCTATGCCCCGATAAGTCTTCTAGGTTTCTTAATTGCAAGAGGAATAAGTTCTATGGATGCAACCCAAAAGACAGTTTTTAGCAGTTAACTAACAAGTTGCATCTTTAAAAGCCATGCTGACAACTTAAGAGATGGAGATATTTGAATTATTTCAGTTACCACCATTTTTAATCTCATCATCTAGCCTTGGTCAAAGTAATAGAGTAAATTCTGTGAATGGATCAATCAAAGTGTTTAATTAAAAACATAATGCTTTTAAAATTTTTGACCAGCTGATTTGCCTTGTGGATATAGATTTGTAGCTTGCAACAGGAGTACTAGTATGACCTGAGCAGAAGAAACTTGAATCCTTTTTCTATGGGATGCATCTCAGAGGGAGACTCCTGTCTGAATATATCTGGGCCAGAATCAGGCTATAAAGCTATTCTGTAACATTATCCAGCAATGACACTGATACGTGTTGTTGAATAAGTTTTAGTTGTACTTCATCACTCTACAGAGTGTAAAGAACAGAACTACAACAGGAACACAGGACCAATGAATCTCTCTCCCTTGTGATCGACTTTAGTCGTATTTTGTTCTTGTCCAGTGGCTAGTGGAATTGCATTTGAGATAGAAGACTTCAGTAATAAATATACAGTCTTGTAAAAACAGTTTCAATGACTAAATATGCTTTTTGGGTTTGATTAACTGGGAAATGTGCCAATCCTACTTGAACAATATCCCATAGGACTCTAATCTACCCAGTCAGGTCTGAAGCAGACTACTTACTAATTATTGAAAAGAATAAAACAAGAGAAAGGATAAGGGATAAATAAATAAAGTCACAACAAAAAACACCAAAACAACAACAAAAAAAACACCCAAATCCCCACCCAAACTGTATTCAGTTTATTTAGAGGCCTAAATTGACAGAGACTTACCTGTAAATTCAACCTTGCCCTGTGAATTGTCCTATTGATTTCAGTGAAATGTCCCAAAACATGGAGAGCTAAGCATGTAATGTATCGTTGCAGGACCAAGACTTTCTTCAGCCTAAAATTTTTCATTTTAGAATAACATCTGAACACCCTTAAAAAAGTTTCAGATACATATTAAAATGTTGAGTTTTAAGGGAAAACTATCAAAATCTCTTCTATCATTTTCCCCTGTTTATCTTAGCATTAAGAGACTCCAAGATGACACCTCAGTCTGAAAAACAAAGATACACTTTAAAAACCTGTGGAGGTGATCTGTGAGACCTGCTCCAAGACCTCCAGAGAAGGTAACAATTTTAGATAGCTCAACTTTTGTGCATTCAAAGTTTCATCTCAGATAAACTTTTATACCTCTCATCTACAAAGTAGTCAGTCTACTGCTGCTAGGTCTGATGTGGAAAGGGAAAATGGGCAATAATAGAATCTTAGAATACATAGGGTTGGAAAGGGCCTTAAGATCATCTAGTTCCAAGCTCCCTGCCACGGGCAGTCCCTGCCTTACCCTAGACCATGTCCTCTAAGTCTCTGTCCAACCTGGCCTTGTCTGTGATTGCAAGAATTTGAGCCAGAGAAATAAAACATTTTCACTGAAATAAAACAGTAAGCAAAGGGCATATGATAACTGTCATGAGAAATAATGTTGGTTGCCCAGTACAACAGGTCGCACCGCAGTTTGGATTGAGACTATTTTGTGGGTTTAGTTGATACTTGCTTATTTGCTTCATGAAACTTTGTAACACTTTTCATGGGTTTAGAATTGTTTATATTTTTATTTACCGAGTTTCTAAAATCAAGTAATTTCATATTTATATGTGTATTAGACAAGAAATACTTGTAAGAATGTAGTAGATGCCAACTAGCAAGCCCCACTTGGATATAAAAAACCTTGTTTTCAGTAGGGTAATTCAGTAAGTTGAGATTCTGTGAATAACCTGTTCAGCAGTAGAGAGTTATTTCATTATTCCCTTCTTCCAAGATCTCCAAGTGCACTCACGTATCCTGGAAAAGAAAGAATAAAAGGCACGTTTCTTCCATGAACAGTATTTTTCTCTGACAGTGTAGTTCCATTGATTTCAAATAAGTTGCTCGGGTTTCAGAATGTAGTTGAATTGTGCTTATCATTTGGGATGGATTGTTCATTGACAATGAAGCTGTTTCATGTCCATTTACTGCTGTTCATGAAATATGTTGTGCTTATTAAACATTTAACCATTAATAAGTTGTATTGAAGGAATCTGGAGCAGTGTAAAACCAAAAAATTGCAAAATAAGGACTGCAGTAATTTTCTTCTTTTTTATAGTCCCAGGCTTCATATCAACTGATGTGAAATAAGAAGCTCACATGGTCTTTAATGAGACAGATTATATTTATCATTCTTGTCAACTCTACTGAAAACGCTGTACTTTAATGGTTAGAACTTTAATGGTTCAAAACTGGCCTAAGCACATCTTGACACAGAAATGAGAGAAGTCTAAATTACCTTGTGTGATGCATTTTTATTGGGAATGAAAATATTTCTGTCTGCCTTGCAGGTACTTAAGTGTATGAGAACCTGAATCAAAATATTCTCTCTACCCATAGCATTGTCTAAAGTAAATCATGTTACCAGCTGTATGTCTAGTGAAAGACTGGTTTCAAATAACTAACAAATTATTTTATTATCAAAATGCTGAGGAAATTTGTTGCTCAAAAGCGATTCCTACTAACCTCACTGATGACTAAAGCAGTGTCCTGGGTTCACCAGTAGCAGTCATTTTTCTCCTTCTTAGTAGCTGGTGCAGTGCTGTGGTTTTGACTTTCAGCCTGGGAACAGTGCTGATAACACCGATGTTTTTAGTTGTTGCTCAGTAATGCTTACTCTGACCAAGGACGTTCTGAGTCTTGTGCTCTGCCAGGGAGGAGGGGAAGCTGGGAGGAAGCAGAGACAGGACACCTGACCCAAACTGATCAAAGGGGTATTCCATACCACAGCACGTCATTCCCAGTATATAAACTGGGGGCAGTTACCTGGAAGGGCTAGATTGCTGCTCAGTCGGGCTGGGTGTCGGGCGGCAGGTGGTGAGCAGTTGTATTCTCTTCCCTTCTTATTTCCCTTATCATTGTTATTATTGGTGGTAGCAGCAGTGGTTTTGTGTTATACCTTAGTTACTAAACTGCCTTTATCTCAACCCATGGGAGTTATATTCTTTTGATTCTCCTCCCCATCCCTCGGGGGGAGTGGCTCACAAAACACAAGTGATGTGTTTTTTTTTTAAGAAAAATCAAAAGGAATCCTTTCTTTTACAAGATGTAAAGACTTGAAATGAAACTGGGCTCTGTTCCATCATTGTCCAACTCCCTTTATTAAACAGTTTCGCTTCCTTCAAAAATTATATATGAAAAATTATAGTTATGGCACATTGTGTATTTTGCCCTATAGAAACAGGTTATTTATTATTTTCCTTTTCAAATGCTCCACTGAAAGACATACTTTTCTTAAATAATAATCTGGGGTATGCCTTCAGTCTCCCTCATGTCTGCCAGTGCAGGATTTGTTTTTTATGGGATATGGAGAATGCATGCAAAAGTTCTACTTGTGCTTCAATGTTTAAGCTCATATGTGAATAGCAGTGGAAATAGAGGTCTGGAGGTATGCTCACGGTGGTACAAAGAAAGCCAGACTGTTTCTTACTGCTGTCAAATCTTTTGAGGGCTTTAATGTGAGAATTGCCGTATCTGCCAGTCTGTCTGCCTGCTTGTCTCCGTAGGCCCTTGGTCTCCTCATTAACCTAGTTGTTATGCAAATTTCTGGCACTAGAGATCAAAAGAAGGGAAGTTCATCAACATAGTGGATTTCCTTCAGTGTGCAGCAAAAATGTTAGGGGGCAGAATGTCACTAAGTTTTTAGAGCAAGGTAGATCTCACAAAGAGGCCTCTTGCAAAATCCTAATATCTGTATAAAGGCTTGACACTTAGGTAATGTCCCTTCTTCAGCACAGATGATAAATAAGTATTTTACAAATACCCAGGCTTATTGGACAAACAATTCAATAGATATGATCACATTTCAGTAATGCATGTGAATGCAGTTTTAAGTACCTCATATTTTGCCCATTTCTATTCCCTTGATAGCTTAAACAGAGATTACTTTGTCCGGCCAAGGGTGTTCACTGTGAGTCAGTGACATCTGATCTGTCCTGACACTTGATAGCAGAATCTGTATTCTGTCCCAGGGCCAGCACTCAATATATTGGTTGCTAAAGAAGAAAGTGTACATGAGTTTTCTATACCAAGATTAATGGAAGTGTAAATATGGAAGTATCTTTGGTCTATAGTTCAAAGGAAAGTACAGAAGTAAAACATGTTTGAAGAGGAAGATACAGATGACGTGAAGGATTAATGCAAAAGACTTGAGTGTACTTGCTTAGGATTTCTCATTAACAGTCAGATGTGCTTTTAATTCAGCTATCTCTTATAAGATGAAGGCTATCTTTTCATATGTTTCATCTGCATCTTCTCTGCTTTTCCAGCTACCTCTGATGGGCTACCTGGTTGATGATTACAGATCCATTGCTCACTGTTGATCTTGTTTTCCCGAGGGATGACTCTTTACCAGACTACTATCACTTCAGCTGAAGACTTTCTCTGAATTTGCTTTTCTAAAGACGATAGCAAGAGCATGGCTGAGGTTAATCTTGGATGTTTATGAGCCTTCCTGGGGTTAGTGTGTACCAAAATATTAGAAAAAGATCTTAACAGAGGATAAGAAATAGTAGAGAAGGACAAATGTAGAACAAAGGCAGAAGCAACCATAAAGCAATATATATTTGTCAGACTTCCTTGCTAACTTACTTTAAATAAACCTCCCATATTACATCTCAGAGGACTCCATTACATTCTGTACTTTATCACTACTCCGAATTATATCTTGAATGAAATGGCTTTTTTGTGCGTTAATGGTTATAAGCAATTAATGGTTACTTCACCAGTTAATGGTTACTCTCTATCTCTCAATTCCTTCCCCCCCTTTTCTCTTCCTTGAAACTAGCTGTGAAATAAATCCTTGTGCTCACCAGAAACAGATACAAATGAGAATACCTTGTTATTGCAATGTCAATATTCTAGTCCAAGACAGGTGATATGAGACACTTTGACATGAGAGAGGATTATTCTGCCACTTTGCAAATACTTTGATAACAGAGAACAGCCAGAAGTAAAATGCAAATTCATGACTGTAGATATTAAGGTGAATGAGAATTTATACTGCTAGAAGCAAGTGAAAGGAACTTTGTGTACTATACACACTGCATTTCTGTTCAGGCTCAGGTAAGATTTTTGTTGGTGATTTGCAGAGTCACCTGCAGAAATTAATGACTGAAATAATTTCAAGTGATAAATATGCTAGAGAAAGTGTGGTCTCCTTTGGGGACTTCCTGCAATCAGTCAGAAAGACAGCAATTTGGCCAGTTATGCACCTTACTCTAATATTGACTAATGTTGTAGTCTGAGGGGAGGATCTAAGGTTCTCAATCTGCTTCCTAGCTGGAAGTGTCTGCAGGATGGATATCTATACTTCACTTAACAGGAGCCTCACCAGACAAGCTAGGCTGTGTAGTCTATAGACCTGGTAACCATTTCCTACCTGATGCTGACTCCCTCGAAATAAGTAACAACATGGTACACAAAAGTAGAAACAACAGGATTAAATTTGCTTATTATGAAATCTTGTGACAAAAATGTGGAAACCACATGTAAATCCTATGGGATAAACGTCATCATGATGCATTGAAAAATCATTTGGCTGCCTCTTCCTAATACCTTTTTCTGCCTCCCCTTGGGAGCATCACACCAGTGGGATACCAGACTTCAGAAATCTAGACTTTTTATTAATGTAAGTGGAATTATTGCTTATATTCCCTCTTTCTTTTGTTGTCTTCAAGATCATTACTGTAAAACAAAATTCTCCCACTGTTGTGTAGAGCACATCATATCCTTGACTGATTTACTAGCATCAGTAATAGCTGCTGAACTCTGTCTAGAGCACTATAGTCAGAGACTGGGTCTCCACAGAAGCTTTAAAAAGCACGCCAGCTGTCACAAGCACTTTTAAAACACAGTAAGAAAAATCTTTACATATCTGTGCTGTCCTCAAAACCTTTGAGATTTGTTCTCAGTCTTTACAAACCTGAGAACAGGTTGTTCTGTTTCTTCCCCTTTTTTCTTCCTTATTTTTGTACAAAGAGATCTTAATACTTGACAAGAGCTCATATAGAGGTATTGGTAATAGAAGCAAATAAGCATTGAGATGGTCATTGTAGCTGTCAGAACATGGAAGAAGTCTAACAATGGGTTGACATGCACAATGTATCAAAAATAGCATAGAGAGAAATTGAAGTGATCCTTGTCATACACAATTTGCATGACTTTTTTTTTTTCTATATTGAGAAAATTTTGCCAGAAGATGGAAAATCCTAACAGTTTCCCCTATTACAAAATTCAGAGGCAACCCTCTGGTGATCCAAGTCTCTAAAATAGGTTTAATTATTGATAATTAAAATAATTTGCTAGCAATCTGCCTGACAATTTATATCAGTCAGCAATTGATTACTTCATAAATAAACCTGTTGTAGTTGCTTTATTTTTTCCTCCTTTTTGTGTGCCATTCTGAAATAATGAGAAATTATAAATTAAAGCAAAATGTCATCATAAATATTAAAGTAAAACCATTTCAAAGCTCAACAATATCATGTCACCAACTTGAATGGAAAAAATATTTCTTTAATAACAAACTCCCACCAGAAATCTGGAAATATCCTAATCTTAATTCTTACTCATCTCTCGCTGTCCAATATTAATTTCCATTTATGTTTGCTTCTATACTTGAATGCTGGTACTGCATTTTAATAAATTCTAACCCTTTTCTGTCTTTAAAAATGTATTTCTTATGTGCTAGCATCACAGTCTTTCTGTAAACATAATTTTTCAATGTGACTTTTCAGCTTCATTAATTTTACATGAAGAAATCAAACCATAAAAGCATTCTTTTTAATGATACCACAAGACATGAAATATACCTTGTAAAGTCAGACAAGACTCAGGTAGTCATCTTAATGAGTTGTTGTTTCCTAAGTGGGGTAGTAAAAGGTGAGGTGACATTTCAAAGAAACTATAGATGGTTGATTTTAACCTCACTGATCTAAAGATTCGTTAGGAACTCAATATTCTGAATTCAGTGTGATCTATCACTTCTAGGATGTTGTACTTCAGAGTCTTGCATGAGAACTGATACCTTTTTATGCTCTTGTCACGTTGAGACTTGATCCTTGCTAATTTGGTGTTTATAAATGGAATGTTGAATTGCAAACTTTCTGTAGAAACCTGAACTGAAAGCATGGTAAACAATCTCCAAGACAACCGCAAGCCCATATTACTTCAACTTTTAACTGAATTCCAAATGATTTTGATATATCTTTGAAGGTAGCCGATGGTCAAAAAAATGTGGAAACTTACAGCTGCCACAGCAGTTGCTACCTGTGGCAATTCATGTTTAATGTACAGAGTTGTAGTGTCTAATGAAGTAAAGAATAATGAGACATATTACTGTCCTGTGCTATTGCAGAGGTACTTCAGGAAACATATTTTGTTCTAACTTTGAATGCCTGTGTCAAAAGATGATCATCCAAATGCAAAGAACATTGCAACGATGTCTCTGACAGGAAGAGCAGGGTAAGAATGCGTGTATGTATATTCATTTATTGCTGTTTCTCGGCATATTCTCCAACATCAAGCAGCCTGTGATCATCAAGTTCCTGAGCAAGAAGTCGTATTTTTTATTTAATGGCTATGTAGCGAAGATTTTACATAGGTCTATGCAAATATGAAGACACATAAGAAAGTGTGAAGTGGGATTTAAAAGCTTGGCACCTTTTTGTTTTTATAAATGCTTTGAAGCCACAGCTGTGAGCATCTAAATGTGAAACAACTTCTTTAATGGTCTAATTAATGACAGAGGGGAATGGGGCAATCACAAAAATAGAACTCTAATTTAGACAGAGTCACAGTCTTTTTGCCAGGTTCTCTGTCAAGGTGGTTATTTTCCCCCTTTTCAGTGAAACAGAATCAATCCTCAACCCAAGAGATTATACTGAGGCAGGTGCCAGCAGATTTATACCACCTGTCTCCATAATTTCTCTGAAGCAGCCTCATCGTGTGTACCACCTGAGGAGCTGTTTCAAAATGTCTTCAACTTATATATTGCTATTTGCCCTAATGGAATATAAAGCATTTTACAAATTACATCACTTTCTTTGCCACTGAATTACAGCTGTCTCTGGAGATGTACAACAGGCTTTTTGGCAGTAGGTAGGAGAACTTGGGCAAAAAGGGAAATGTTCAGTCTGCAGGAAGAAAAGCAGAATACACACTAAGATGTGAATTTGGCCACAGCATTTGGAGTGAAGTACTACTATGAAAAATGCTTATGAAGAATAGCACTTGTTTGCAAGTACTTTCCAGATATATCACACAAACGTGCTTTCTTGTCAGTCAGGTTTTAGTGCAAGAAAAGATACTAGAGTCATGCTTCATCACCTTGCTGGCTTGAGTAAAATCCTGATAAGAGATGGTGAAGTTTGATTTTTTTCTTATTAAAAAAAAACCCACCCAAAACTATACTTTATAATAAAATATGCAACCTAAAATTGATTGAGTTTGTATATGTGTGAAATACATTTATATTATTCTCACTTTTGGTTGATGAAAAATCTTGGAGAATTCTTGATACCAGTAAAAAAAAGGGGGACCCTAAATGAGACTGGTGGACTATTTTTTGAAAACATATTTGGAGTGGAGAAAATGTGATGCTGTACACTTGAAACTAGTCAGGGAATATTTTTAGAGCTTTTAGCCACGGCACAATTGTGTAAAGTTCAATTGATAGTTGCTTCTAGAAGTTCTGTAGTGACTCAGAATAAAAAACTTACTCCAAAGTCACTGTAGTCTCATAATTTCGTCCACTACATATGTTATACTGCTTCATATTACTAACCTGTTTAAAGTTACTTGAATAAAGCTATTTTGTGATACAAGCTGCTTGCTTTTTTGGTTTTCTTTTTTTATATATTTCTACTTTTTAAGGTGAAATTAGGATAAAAGACGTAGAAATCAACATTTTGGGCAGAATTGATAGCTACACATTTGATGTCTCCTATTGTATTCCTTGGCAGGCTACAGTTTGCTGTAGGATCTAAACAACACAGATAGGAATTGTTTTTAAGTAGATTCAGGCTTCCATCCATTTTCCACCAAATTATGACTGCATTTGGGTACTTAACTGTATCTATCATGGCAGCTTCCTACTCGTTCCTCACTTCTGTAGACAGGTAGCACAAGCGCTACACAGCTCTCGCCTACTACTGCTTTTCCATGGTGTAAACTAGAGGAGGAAAAGAGTAGATCAGTTTGTACAGAACAAATGTATTTGCAGTAGACTGGTAAATTACAATTTTTCTTGTCCCTGACAGAGGAAGAGAGCTTTTTAAAATGTTATGATGCAAATCTGACTCCAGGGTTCTGTTCCTCCTTAGGTATTGAGAACAGTGTCCAAAAATCCCAACCGTACCAGTTTGTATCACTTGAGTTCCCCTGAATATTCTTCCATTCACCATCATTAGGTTTCTAAGAAGTTAGATAGGAAGGAAAACTTCTACAAATACTGAAAAATAAGAACTTTATGCATTAAAAACTTAAGAATCAATTTATGTATACAGTCCCACTGAGCAATGTGTCATTATTGAATTCTCATAAAGATACATGCTGAGCTATTTACAGGATGAACTAAAGTAATTAGCTGTATCTGTTGTAATTAGGAGTCAGTCAGTATGTCATCTGAGATAATTGTGTTGCAATACAGATCATTTTCTTGAATAGCAGATACTGCATGGGATTACTTATCTGCTAGTATAATGCTGCTTCTCCACATAAAAATTTCCATGATGACTAGAAAGCTAAGATATTGCAATGATTGAGAAAAACTTTAACAAATTGAGTTAATTTTAACATTGTTTCTGTTATCCATATGACTGTAATAATTCTACCTTTGTTTTATGTTTTCATGGTTTTGTTACAGAAAAGCAGTCTCTGTTTGAAGAAGGAGAATCAAAATTTATCTCCTGGTACAATTCCACTGAAGTCAGCAGAGGTACTGCAAGCTTGACTGTCTGGAAATTTCTTCTTCCAGGTGTGTAAGTCTACTTATACTTCATTTATTGTAGGACATGGGGAAATTATTAAGGAAATATCCGTTGGAAAATGCAAATTGTTTACACAGAAATAAACCCATAAAAGAATGCATTGGTTCTTATTGGAGGATTTTGTTCCGTTTTTGCATGTAGTCTGACTTGATTAGCTCTCTTCTACTAACTCATTTATTTGAATAAAAATTAGCTAAATGATTGTCAACCCTTTTGTTTCAAAATTCCTAGCTTAGCACCCAAGCCGAGGCCAGTACTAAGGTTGGGCTTAGGACAGAGATAAGCACTTGAGCTGCAGTGGGAGTGAGGCTAGAAAGGGGCTGCATGAGTACCGTGTAGGTTGGAAAAGGAATCATCCCCTAAGAAGTTTCTTATCCTTAGGGTCCCTTGTGATCCTCAACTCCGGCTCAGCCTATTAACGAAGTTTATGCAGAAATAGTTCTTTTATTTACTTGGGCTGTCATGCATCTGGCTGATGGTGGGAGTTTAATTTGGAACGTGGCGTATTTTCATGGAGGCTATTCTGAATGAAGAGTTCCTGGTTCCAAGGCTGAAGGGCTCTGTTTTCCTGGCAGTACTCAATGTGTTAAATTAAATGTCTCTGGGTCAGCTTCCAGCTGGTGAAGGCAGACACCTGTGGTAGATTTCAGCATTTAAAAATACAACACCTACTGCAGCAGCAGGGTGCCACAGAGCAGCTGAATTTGATGCCAGTGTCTGTGGCAAAAATAAGGCACTTCTACAGGGTGATACAGGATTATAGACTTAAGGTCTGGACTAGAAACTGCCCAGGTCTACTGTTCATACATGGTGAGTTTATTGAGCACCTATCTAAACATTAAGAACCCTTGTGAGCTTCTGGATGTTTGGTGGTGAGGTCTGTGATCAGGTGGTTTGAAAAGATGACAGCAACTGGGGCCTCTTGTTTCAATAGTCAAGCAATGGCCAGTGTATGGTGACACATTGTGGTTCTGAACTGGCCTCCAGTTAGGAAAATGTGAGTCTTCATGCCACCACCTCCAATATCCCACCTAGGTAGTGTAACAGTCAGGCTGTGACTGGGCACAAGCAAGCAAGGATAGAAGAGCCAAAAGGCTGTAGGATCCAGACACGAAGATGTACCTGTCTACCCTTAGGACAGGGCTTTGAACAGAAAAGAAGATTAAAATTGTTTTTCTGTTTTCATTTATGTCTATGTATTTTTATACAGTTTCAGTATCATTTAAATGTTTTTTCCCTATACCTTGGATATTTTGGCACTTCTGTATGACAAAGCCATGCAAGTGTTGGGTCCTGAAGGCTTCTCTGTTAGGCTGTCGTGAAAAAAAGTGAGAAACCTCCATTTGGTTAGTTATGGCTTGAGACAAAAATAATTGTACAGTGCTGCTTTTGGGGAATTAGTAGTTAGGTGTGTTTCTGCAAAAGACTGAATTGTCAAAAAGCTTAGAACCAGAATAAGCTGCTGCTGAGCATTACCTAAACCTTACGATGTGCTTTCTGAGTATGGCACTGCCAGTGATACAGGGTTGGTTTTCAGCAAGGAGGATACTAACTATTAAAGGTCAAAAGCTGACTGAAGGACTGCATGCTACACAAAGTACATCAGCATTAGCATTTCTGTAGTCACATCTGGTGGACACCTGATGCCCATTGCCAAGCTAGAGGACCAAGGCCAACCATGATGCAGCCTTGAGAGTAGCATCATAGGAAGGCTATGTAAAGCACAGATAGGTTAAACTGTTCTAAAGCTATGATGTTATTTTAGTTAAACCTGCTCACTTTGTCTGCATCTACAGTAGTAATACCAGTTGTCGAATAATGATTTTTGGTATGGACATTAATGGGTAAGTCAAACTTGAAAAATTCTGTGCAACTGAACTAAGCTCTAAGAAACAATATGTATGATAGTAGTAACTGATGAACTCAGCTGGGAGTAGTAGAGCATTAATAAGGATGCTAATTATCTAATATAAAGGTGATCCTGCCTCTGAATGGAAGTCTTTTCTAGGAATAAAATGCCTTAAAAAGTCTTTTCCAGTAATGCAAAAGCATGTAAAGTGGGGAATTCCTTCTGTGTCTTCTAGAATGGGAATTTTGCAAGAAGATGTTAATGTACACAAAGGCATGTGTCCCATGGGCCTGCTTTTAGCTCTTAAACACATTGTTGTGAGAGCATGGGGAAGCCAAATTGCATTCAAAGACTACAGTAGGTTATAAATCCCACAGTATTATACTGTTTAGCTAATTTACTTTATGAATAAGCTGCTATCAGTTTGGTTTAAAAAAAACTTACAGTATTTTGAAAAAAAAAAAAGAGAAGTGGGAAGCCTATATAGAACTTATTGGTAGGCCTCACAGATGGTTTCCAGTTACTCAGCTATATCCTGTCACCCTGACAGGAATGTTTTTTACATTAGCCTTGAATTTTCCTTTATGCATTCAATGTGAACGTCCAGTAAAATCACGGCCTACTGAAGAGTGGACTAACCTTTGTCACATTATCTTTGATTAAGTGGACTTTGAGGGAATTTACCAATGACCTTGTTTTGACTTCTTTTGGGCTCAGTTTGTGACAAAATAAATTCATACTTGTTTAGGATTCCCACTAAGAACTGCACCACATACTGTTACTGTTTTCTTTCCATTACCTCTGAATGTGGTGCTTGATACTGATTAATTGCCTCTCCTTTCTGTTTGCCAGGTGCATTTGCCAGGTCTCATCTCTGATAATAGACACCACTATCTGTCTTTATATATATTTTTATATTACTGAATTAACTGTTTGTGCTCTAAATCCCACACAGCCTGAATGACTCAGAATTTAACTGAGCCTGTGCTGCGCATGTGTCTGAAGGGCTGGGGATATGGCTGTGAAGGCTTATTAAAGTTGTTTGCTCTGCCGCTTCTCGTCCCACAGCAATGGGATTAACTTAATGAGATGCAAGCATAAATACTGCAGTGATACAGGCAGTATAAGGGTCAAACTTACGAAATCTGGTGCAACTGTAGCTGCTTTTAGATAATTCACACCACAAACATTCACAGTGCATGCTTGCTGTTTATGCTTCCACCTGCTTCCTTCAGCATTATGCTCAGAGCTAGAAAGTGGGTCTGAAATGGGTTTGTGACAACTTTTACTCTTTCTTAAAAAAAGGAAATAATATCAACCCAAAATATTGATAAAATATTTACTATTTAGTTTTATTTACTGCATAACCTTCAATACTCTAAATCTGCAGACTATGCATAAAATACAAATGAATCTTCAATTACATTATCAGAATGCCAAGATCTTTATTTCACATTTTCCTTCTTGTTAGCACAAAAACATGAACCTGATAATAATCTACCTTTATTAAAAAAAAAAGATTTGTGTACAGGTTGCAATGGACACACAATAAAACAACCTGTATTCTACGCGTCCTATCTGTTGCACGTCCTGATGAGGTTTTCCACTCTATTTTCTACTTTTGTTTAAGCGAATGTTATGTACCTAATTGTTGAATTCAGTCACTGTAAAAGATACAAATATCCACACCCCCCCTCTGTGTGGTTTCATTTACAATGACACTGGGACCAGTTTCTCTATTAATTGATGACTCTCAATCTGTTGATCATACATACTCTGTCCTGAAAAGTGGAGTTAGGAATACCCTAGTTATTTAACTAGGAATTAGGAATACCCTAGTTATTTAACAACTTCTAGGCAAATCTAGCCCATATACAGAGAAGTAGGTTTCAGTGGTTATTTGTAAAGATGATGCCTGGAAATCAGCCTGGAATCTGAAAGCCATCATTCAACCTTCCAGGCTCAGGAGCCACAGAATTTGCCATGGGAGCTTAAAATAGCATCTCACTACTTTGATAGCCACCTCTTCAAACTTCTGTAAGACCTGTATGTCTAATTCATTTAGCCTGTTCGGAACCCTTCAGGCTCTAATAATTGTGTTAATAATTTGGGAACCAAATGTATCTCCCAGATACATTATCTATTCAGTGTTAACAGAAATAACATTTACTATCTTCAGTCAAATCAGCTGGGGCATGATACAAATCATTACAAAGATGCCACTTGATGAATAAGCAGCTGTTTATTTTGGGTTTTTTTTGGTAGGCCCTTGTCACTGGAATTTTTCATTGAAAGTAATTGTAGAGGTGGTTCTGTGATACTTTCACTGAGTAAGGGACAAAGATAAACCTCTTTTATCAAGCTTTCTAGGAACAGGAGTGGTGGCCAGTGGCCAGTGGCCAGGTCAAATCTGGGTTGTTTTCTTGCTTCTAGGAGAATTGAGAAAGTTTTTGAAATCTCATCTGGTTAAAAAAGTATCTTCAGTTTAATTATCCCAAGCACAGAATACATTTCTGAGGAGGTAACAGTTTCGTCACTGTGTCACCCACGGTTGCAGTATTTAACCCTACATACCCCAAGGCTTATTTTAAACCTTTCTTCACTTTCCATACTGTATTCTGCCTGAGAAAAAATGAGAATGGAATTAACCTCATTCTGAGACTGATAAAAATCTAGACGTCTTCTTTTACCTCGCTTTCCAGCCCTATGTGCCTTTCTATTCACATAATAAACTTCTAAAGTTCTGTAGATGCTTTGGGAGCTGTCAGATACAAGGAGAAGACAATGGAGAGGAAGGGGGTGGTTGTGTCCTGTTGCTAATGTCGGAAATGCCAGCTTTTCTTCAGAACAGGGAAATATAGGAAGAGGGTGGGTTGTCACACTTAAATTTGTTGGATGTTCGTCAAAAGGTAAATACTAAAAACTACTGTGTTAGCCAAACCACCACAGAGATTCAGACAAACAGAACTTTCAGAAATGTTACAGGAATGCATTATTCAAAGCATAAGCAGATGCCTTGTGCCCTATTCTCTTTTATGGTCCTAACTTGTGAAACATGTACTATGGTGCAGAGTAGACAGGGAGTCCCACGTGGCTCTGTCAGGAAGGGACTTGGCCTGTAAAAAGAGTTATGGCATTAATGGATGCCCCCGTGGGGTATAGTTAAGCTGTTTCTTAAGAGAGCTAAGTCATACAGTTTAGGATGGAGCTTTTCAACGTCAGGTTTTTATTTTTCGTGGAAAGCTGAAGATCTCCAGCAAGCCCCACTCTTGATTTAAGGTTGGCATCATTTCTCATCAAAAATGAACGTATGTGCTGTGTCATTAGGACTTGGGTATCTCTAGAAGCTATACAAATATATTCTTCAGCTACATATCCCCAAACAAGGGGGGAACCTCTGGTATCAAACCAGGCTTTGCAGCTGCTTTCTTTTGAGAGTCTGAAACAAAAGTCTGGGCACCAAAATTTACATTTGATTTACACAAATTAGAATTACATCTCGGATCTTTGCTAGTTGACAGCAGGGTAACTTACCTGGAGTCTGACAGGGTGAGATTTGAATTAGCTGAACTTCTGAATCTTCCTGATGTTTCTCAATTGCTGTTTGACACTCCTGCAAAGCGCTGATATCCCCCAAGGAAGTTCAAAATCCAGTGGACCTTAGACAGTCGTGAATCCACATATGACAGTTTTCTCAGCATGTCATTTTAAAATTCTGAAGAAAAAATGTAACCCAACAGTTTGTGAAGGGAATAGAGAACACTAGAAATAATTAACATACTTTATTCTTTTAAAATCATGACTTTCTTTTTTGAAAGAAAAAAGGTGTAGAAAATTCTTCTTTCCAACAGAATAAATAAATATGACAAGAGTAAGAAAGTTGAGGTTGCTTTGGAACAGAAGAAAATAAAGAGGCCAAAGGAAGGAGAAATATGCAGATACCAAGAGAAAGAATGAAGGAACAAAACGTACAGCACATTTTGAAGCACTTACATTTGCAACAGCCATTCCCCAGCCATTCTGCAAGTTGTATGACTGAGAAATTTGAATCTTGACTGCTGATCAGTGAAGTGGCATGTCCAGTTTTATGAATTATCTGGCAATAGTCCCATGCCAAATGCGCTAGCGTGAATAATAACGACATAAAACCTGTTAATATATTAATTAATATAGCGCCTCAGACTGTGAAGCTTCACATAGAGTTAATTATCACCATGTTAATGAGTGGTGTGATGGTAAATACAGAGTGGGTAAGTACATTTGATTGGTGCATTTAAGAAGTTAGGTATTCATTATAGTGCTTAAATTAGAAGTGAATAACCTCCATATTCCCACAGTTCCTCTCATCCACACTGTTAGCAATTGCACTGCACTGTGGATGCAAATAATTAAAAGCTGTTCATTAACAGATATTAGCTGTCTCTGTGTTAAGGTGTCTCAAGTGTAGTGTCACTATTGTGTATCATTTCTGTACACAGGAATACTTTGCTTTTCTTTATCTAAAAAATTTGGGGAAAACACAAAGAAGAATGGAATCTTCAGTTTCTTGACTTCCAGTCTTTGATGTTTATGAACGTCCATCAGACCTAGGAAAAATAGCAAGCTGAATCTAGAAATATGTTCTTTTCAACAGTCTTGGGCCCGCTGCTTTAATTAATGTTTTCAGTACCCAGGAGCCAATTTACAAAAACAGCTTCAGCAGATTACAGGCAGTAGAGCCTCGGTAATGAGAAGATAAAGCACAAAGGACTCTTAATTTCCAGGCAACCCAATGATAAACCTGGCTTCATAGAATCATAGAATAGTTAGGGTTGGAAAGGACCTTAAGATCATCTAGTTCCAACCCCCCTGCCATGGGCAGGGACACCTCACACTAAACCATGTCACCCAAGGCCTTGTCCAACCTGGTCTTGAACACTGCCAGGGATGGAGCATTCACAACCTCCCGGGGCAACCCATTCCAGTGCCTCCCTAACAGGAAAGAATTTCCACCTTATATCCAATCTAAACTTCCCCTGTTTAAGTTTGAACCCGTTACCCCTTGTCCTGTCACTACAGTCCCTAATGAAGAGTCCCTCCCCAGCATCCCTGTTTGTGTTCATGCACTGAGTTTTGAACACCATGCTTGGTATTTAGCAAGACTGCGTGGCACATGGCCAGATAAAGGATAATGTGCCTCCATTTTTTTTTTGTAACTTATATAACTTTTTGGATTGGAAGGAACCTTAAAACTTGTTTAGTTCCAACCCGCTGCCACAGGCAGGGACACCTTCTATTAGACCAGGTTGCTCCAAGCCATGTCCAGCCTGGCCTTGAACAGTGCCATGGATGGGGCAGCCACAGCTTCTCTGGGCACCCTGTGCCAGGGCCTCAGCACCCTCACAGGGAAGAATTTCTTCTGAATATCTCATCAAAATGTCCCATTTGTCAGTTTAAAGCCATTCCCCCTTCTCCTATCACCATGTGCACCTGTAAAGGTTATAACTCTTTTGGTTTGGAGAAAGACAAAGGTGAGAGTCCCACTGGGAGTGGACACCTGAGTTGTCATAAAGGAACTATTTATGAACAATGCTAACTCAGCTGTTGCATCCACCTCTACATACATTTTTGATTTGCTTCTTGTTAGTAGGAAGACTCATTTCTTTCATTGCCTAATTTTGTCTCACATTTGAGACATTCTGATAGTCTTTAAACCAGCAATACTCTGTGATGAGTTTTCCTCCTTACGAAGATGACTTATTTTGATGAAAGTTTTCAGTCATAACTACCAGTTTATAAGGTAGATTTTGTCTTAATTTTGTTATGACTCTTTTAAAAGATTATATAACTGGCTGTTACTCTCAACAGGTCATTTGTTTTCATCGATTTGAGCATGTGGTGTATAAAATCAAACAACCTATTTTGTTCAGTTTTGTGACTGTCTCGCATTCCCCAGGCAGCTTGAATACGCTCACCTGGATGATGATGCTTAAGCCTGTTCTTGACAGCAACTGAAGTACTATATGTAGGACTTGCAAGGACTTTATTTGTAATATTTCACACTTGTTTCAAGGAAGAAGGAAATCCAGGAATTTCTTTAAATGGCTTGAGCCTAATATGAGCTTAATATGAAGCAGCAGAAGAAAAAGCCTATGCATATTTTATATATATATTATATAGTTTCACCCAACTGAGCAGGCAGCTGTAAAAGAAAGAAATCAACTTCAGCACTTAAATATTCTTAACTGAAGTCTCTTATTTCTCAAATTTCAGAAGTTTCATATGCCTTCAAGCTTCAAAGAAGGGTCAGGACAGATCTGTATCTGCAATGAACAATGGACACTTTTCTGAAGGCTTCAGAGTAGACTTTGTACTAAAGTTCATATACTGATCCAAATTGTCTGTGTTCCTAACACTGCAAATGCATGGTAATTTGAAATTTCATTAGGATCACGTATAGCTACTCTATATTTTACCACAAGATTTTAAGGCTTGATGCTGAAGGCTGTAATCAAACCTAACACTCCTCTGTTTTCAGTAGGAGGAGCTATCCCCATACATCCGGCACCGTAATCAATAATGCCTGCTTCTTAATGCTACATTGGTATTGTAGAATGGGGACAGTAAAAGCTAGAGTACCTAGGATCAAAGCTCTAGTGAACAATTCATTTTGTTCCTTTTGGAAACTCCTAAATTTGCTGCTTATTAAAGAGCAAAATATTTGCCTAAACAAAAAGAGTAGCAAACTTGTAGAATGCAGAATTTTCACCAAGATTCTTTACTCATCTCTTGATACTGTTGGATTCATTATACCTCCTACTCATTGGATTTGTTCAACGTCTTTGTCGGTGACATGGACAGTGGGATTGAGTGCGACCTCAGCAAGTTTGCCGATGACACCAAGCTGTGTGGTTCGGTTGATAACGCTGGAGGGAAGGAATGCCATCCAGAGGGACCTCCACACATTTGTGAGGTGGGCTGATGCCAACCTTATGAAGTTTAACAAAGCCAAGTGCAAGGTCCTACACCTGGGTCGAAGCAATCCCAGGCACAGCTACAGGTTGGGCAGAGAAGAGATTCAGAGCAGCCCTGTGGAGAAGGACTTCGGGGTGCTGGTCGATGAAAAATGAACATGAGCCAGCTGCAGTGTGCGCTCACAGCCCAGAAAGCCAACCGTAACCTGGGCTGCATCAAAAGGAGCGTGACCAGCAGGTCAAAGGAGGTGATCCTGCCCCTCTGCTCTTGTGAGACCTCACCTGGAGTATTGTGTGCAGTTCTGGTGTCCTCAACATAAAAAGGACATGGAACTGTTGGAACAAGTCCAGAGAAGGGCCACGAGGATGATCAGGGGACTGGAGCACCTCCTGTATGAAGACAGGCTGAGAAAGTTGGGGCTGTTCAGCCTGGAGAAGAGAAGGCTGCGTGGAGACCTCATAGCAGCCTTCCAGTATCTGAAGGGGGCCTATAGGGATGCTGGAGAGGGACTCTTCATTAGGGACTGTAGTGATAGGACAAGGGGCAATGGGTTCAAACTTAAACAGGGGAAGTTTAGATTAGATACAAGGAGGAAGTTCTTTACTGTGAGAGTGGTGAAGCACTGGAATGGGTTGCCCAGGGAAGTTATGAATGCTCCATCCCTGGCGGCATTCAAGGCCAGGTTCGACAGAGCCTTGGGTGGCATGGTTTAGTGGGAGGTGTCCCTGACCATGGCAGGGGGGTTGGAACTAGATGATCTTCAGGTCCTTTCCAACCCTAACTATTCCATGATTCTAAGAAATTTTATTCTTCCAACTTTCAGTTAAGGGGAACTTAAAGCAATTAATTAAATACTGAAAGGTTTTGTTTCAGCCAGGAGTGAGAAAGAAGGACTCTGATAACGTTTTGATAATGGAGTGGAGGCATTGAACGTTTGTTTCCTTGCAGTATCGTATCAGTGAATTGAAGACACTGAGGACGACTTCCAAGGAGCCTAATAGGTGAATTATCTGTTAAAGAACATGGATATTGCTAATGACACAGGATTTTACAGGCTAGGAAGTAAGCTCACAGAGGATCAAGTGCAGAGATGAACTACAAGAAATGTTTGCGAAGTGGAGACTATTTTGTAAGAGGAGCCCAAGAGAGCCAGGCTTGGGCAGCTGAACACACCACTAGCGAGAAGAGGTAAACCAGCTCTTCACAGATGTACGAGGAGAGAAAGAAACCGAGAAAAAAAAAGAACCGAACAACTGAACCACCATACAGTGTTGGCATGAAACAAAAATTGTGTAAAATACCTATAAATACAGCAAGATTGGAAACCAGAGGCGCTGTTCATTAGTCAACCAGTTTTGCTCTTTGGTTTCTCTGTCACAAAGCAAGGGCAGGGGAAAGGGTCTAATTCTTCAAGCTGGTTCCTTACTTCTGTGCACATTTGCTAGTATTAATAACCAAAATGCGTCCCGTCACATTCCCCCCCCCTTTTTTTCTTAGTATGTTGACATCACTACCTTTTATTTATTTGCACAGTTTGGGCAGCTAATCCCTCTTTGTTCAGATTTACATTGCAGTCTCCAGCGGACAACAGCAATACAAAGATAATGGTTGTTCTGCTGTATGATACCAACATTAAGTTATTGCCATCCTGAAAGACCCAATGAAGAAGTACACTCCATCTCGTAGAATGATTCAGGGTATTTTAGTCCAAAGGCGAGGTGACCATTTTACTCTGACGATGGAGGCACAGAAATGTGGTGAGCAGCTAGAAGATAAGTACAGTAGAAGGTGATGCCACTATTAATAAACCACTTGAGGGAAAACTTACTGTCTTTAGTATCATTCTAGAAACAGCCCCACACTTAAAAAACCAGAGTGGATATATCATACGCATGAGACTGGCCCACTGTCTAGACTAAGAAAGGTGTCTTTTTTTTTACATCATTATTCTCAGCAGTAAATCTGCAGGATATTTTTTTAATTGGAAATAATGTATTTCAGACAGGCATCTGGAAAACATTTAAGGTCTTCATTATATATGTACAAGAAGCTGGGGTGTTTTTCAACAGTGGTAAGTCAGCTTACAGTGAAACAGCATTGTAACAACATAGAGCTGCACAAAAAATTTTACTGCATGGAAACTGTAACACTTCTCAAGCAAAAAGACAGTGGGACTACTTACAAAAAAAAAGACTTAAATCCTGGATTGATGAGGCAGGACCAAGGGAAGAATAAAGTGGTATGGGGGGAGCCCATGGTGTGAAAAATGAAGTTGTATTCTATGAAGAAAAAGTATGTGTGTTTGTGTATGTACGTGCACCCAAGTGGTAGAATTTTTAAATGGTCCATCTCTGTCTTGCAGAATAAACTAAACGTTTTTTATGTAAATGTGAATTTCTGGGCTTAATGCTCTTAGTACAGGGGACAATGCTATGGAAGCTGTCTCTTTAAAAAAAATCAGCTCCTTATTTCATGATGAATGTAAATCTGACATGGAGGACTTCCTAATATCTGTTTATCAGAATATATTGGTATTGTTATTACAATAGCATTCATTGTTATTTCTGTTCATCTGTTTTTTCACTGTATTCACCTCTTTCTCTGAGTTTTCTGCCACCAATCTCAGCAAGATTCTGGGCTCTTAAAATGTTACAGCTGTAGGAAACATACTAATCCACTAAGGTCTTTCTATATTTTAGGTAATTTATATCTCCATTGGGCCCTCTGCTTCAATACAAAAATCTGTTTTCATGAGTATTATTTTCTTTCCAGCACCTCAGACTAACTAGGAGCTATTGTGATTTAGCTCTTCACATCTTTTCCCACAACTGATAGCCTCCCCAGTCAGCATTTGCATCTTCCATGGAATGAAGCCAGTAGCCTACATGTTTGGTAAAAGGAAAATTTGTTCTTCAGCTCAATAAAGTAATTCAGTTTGGATCTGCAGCAGAATTAGTCTGATCAGAATTTAGACTGACATACTTAGTTGTCAAGGGTATTGTACATTTGGGGACAAGCTATTGCAGTGCAAAAATAATAGAGCAAATACCATTTGCTTTACTTGGCATTTTACCAGTTGTTAGCATCAGTTTTCATTCAGCAGAGGCCAGCTGAAATTGCTGATGCAAGAAGCGATAATATTCTTGATGTGAGATGAATAGGACATTTTAATTTTTGTGCTAAAGTAGAGAATAATTTAATCTCTGTTAGAGAAGAAAATGCTAAAATGAAAAAAAAAAACCAGTTAATACAGAATTAACTTGTCAGAGCTGTAACTGCCTATGAATCATGTAAAGGGAATCTAATCAATTAATATCAATTAGTATCAATTAATATCATATGCTATGTGTAGCTGAAGCAATAGAGAAAATAACATTGCTGCAAAGGGCTGTGGCAAACTTCCAATATAATCCTCTTCCCTTCTGATGTCTTTGCCCAGGTATGTTTTTATCATTTTGCTTCTTAATTTGGTAGTGCTTATCCTGAATTTGGAAGTCACAATTCCAACACACCCAATGCCTGAGTTTTTTGTTGGTTTATCACTAAGTTAGTCTATCCAAAGTTATCCAGAGTAGTCAGGACCCAAATAATAGTGTTTGTAGGGAGATACTGTGCTCCCGTCTCATCTAACCATCATCTTGTCTTGCCCTGGCACTCTGCCTCTACTTTACACATATTTCATTTCTCACTTTAAACCATTCATCTCTAATTCTACACAATGTGTCCTCTTAATTTAATTTCATTGCTAATGTATTAGATCATTTGAGACCACTTCTATTTCCTGTGCTGGTATTTCTGGCCCTGCTGAGCTTCTTTCCCATTGATGACACCTCATGGTCACAGAGTGACAGGAAGGTCGCCACCAAACGCAACAGAGGTCATCACGTGCTCTACTCTGCATTGTCTGATTGCAGGCACTCTGCAGAGCTCAGCCATGCTGTGGGGCTGGCCTTTTCATTGCCAAGAATAATCTCTTTTCTGCTTAACTCAAGGCTCAAAGCTGCTTCTTCATTATATCTCTTTCTTCCTGAAATATTGCCGCACAACCATCCTTGGTCAAATTGCAGTGTAAGCTTAGGGGTGCAGTGATTAGAACCTTTACTGTTTTTTAGGTCCTATACATGCTAAATCATCCATAGAAAGATATATTATAAATGCAGTTTACAGAGCTGTACATACACAAACTACACACAGAGTGTGAATACAAATGTTGCTATACAAATAATCTGTAAATAAGAAGTCTGCAATTATTTTTTAGCTCTTCTGTGGCAAGAAGGTGTATTTGTCTTCATTATGTGAGTCTCCTGGATTGTCTTCAGACTTCATTTGTTTGCCTATTTAGTTTTTCTGCTTATGTTAAAGTTTTCAGTTCTGAGCTGAATTTCTGCTGGACAGGCACCAGGTTGGTACTTTAACCCTTTTAATCCTTTGTTTCAGCAATGTCTTGTGTGAGGAATATGCAGTTTGAACATCAAATGCATACTCATTTAATTAATTTTCAGGCAGAAGGATCACTGCAATAGCTGAGATCATCTGGTATGTGTTTCCACATACGATTTTCCACCTTGGAAGTCATACAAAGAAACCCCTGCCTTATGAAATTTCAGACTACAAACCAGGCAAAGCAGTCTGACATCAGATGGCAATGTATACTTTTCATTATTTATCACTAGCAGTTGCAGCTGCTCCTGAAGTTATGGGAAAGGACCTTTTAGTTGAGTTCCTTCCCCAGATTCCCACTGCTCAAGAAAAATAGCAGAAAGAAAGCATATGACAGTATTTCAGGCTGCTGTGTAATGATGTGGAATGTTGCTCTGGCGATTTAAGATTTAAAACTGAATTCTCCAGCTGCTTTTCCCAGGTCAGGTAAACTCTCTCTGCCTTAGTTTCCCCATCTGGAATAAAAGTACCTACCTTTCTCATTGGGGAACTCTGGACTTTAATTAATCAACAATCGTAGATTGCTATATAGAGCGGATGAGCAAACAATCTGGAGTGTGCAGTTTATTCAATGACTTTAGCCTGCTAGCAGAAAATCCTTGAGCAGATGGTGTTGTTATCAACTACAGAGGAAAAATCATTCCAGTCTGAACATTTCTGCTTTGTTTTATTTCGCTTACAGAATCTTCAGCCCCGAGGAAATATTTCTCAATGGTGAGGAACCCTTTCTTTAAAAAACTGCCTTCAAAAGCCCAGAGCTCATGGGGCTGCTGGACCTCCTTCTGCACCATTCCTAAAGCGGTAGGTGGAGGGGCCTTCCATATGCAGTTTGAGTGATTGAAAACCACAGGGGACTGTCTGCATTTCAGGGAAGATTTCACCATATTCAGAAAGATTTTAACCATCTTGTCTTGGATGAAGGCTTCTGATAATTGGACAGCCTTTCTTTGACATCAGGAACCAAAACATCTGTTTTCAAGGGTAACAGAAAGGTAGCCAATCCAGAATGCTTTTTACTTTGGTATGCTAAAAAATTCTACTTATCATGCAGTTTAACAGAGATGTATCACATAAATTCACTGTTTGCTATTCGAGAAAAAAGTTAGGGTTTGTTTTCATAGAATTTAACTTATTTCATAGGGCTGTACCTCATTTTATTTTACTTTATTTTTTCATTTGTATTCCCCTGAAGACTAATCTAAGGTTTATATGAATTTTCAGAAAGATATATTATAAAACATAGTGTTGTGCTTGTCACTTCATGGCAGCCAACACAGCAAATTAATGACCGTGTACTAGGTTATATGTATTACATCTGAAACTGCAATTAATAGCCTTGTGAGGGCCCAAGCACATAGTATTTGACAGCTAACGGTTAGTGTGATGATGTGGACTGTTACAAACAAGCAATCAGCCTCTGCCCTGACACGTAAAGTAGACAAGATGTTACCTCAGTGCTAGATGACATAAAGGATTTTGCTGCTGAGTTGGAATTTACGTGGGCTTTAGTTTCTTGAGTCTGAAACTGGATTTCCTTACCTAATTTTCTTCTGTCTACAGTGAAACATCTAATCGTCGAAGTGCCTAAAACTCACAGAAGTCCTTATCTTTGATATAGGAAGCCTGAGAAACCACTGCCTTTGGGTCCTGATTTTCCCCTAGGAACAAGGAACTCCAAATGTCTCATCGCAGATCTTTTGTTAAAGTAAGTCTTGAGCCTCTTTTTGTGTCAGCTCCTGATAGTAAATGTAGGAATTTCCTTTACTTTTCAGACTTGACATGAGTTATGCTAGGGAATATGACATGCCCAGTATCTATGGTGTTACATGTTACATTGAGATTTACTTGAGATTAAAAGTAAATATTCCAAATCAAATGACACGGCAAACATGCTTACTTGAGTTGCAGATGGGAGAAAGAGTTAGTTAAAGGCACATCAATGAAAAATAAGACTTGGAAATATATTTTGATTTTCAGTTCTTCCTTACAAACTGTCGTGGTTTAAACCCAGTCAGGTAATTCGTTTGCTCACTTCCCCCCCTTTTCTTTCCCTCCCCCTGCTCTCGGAGGGACAAGCCATCCCCCGGGTTGAGATAAGAACAGTTTAGTAACTAAGGTATAACACAAATTGCTACCACCAGTGATAATAATGATAAAGGAAATAACATACATCATCTTAGTGATCCTCCAACCCTGCAGTCTCCCAGCCCTTCCGGCTAACTCCCAACATCCTGGGCATGACGTGCTGTGGTATGGAATATCAGTTTTCATTTCCCTGGCAGAGCATGAGGCTCACAAAGTCCTTGGCCAAACCAAAACATCACTATCAGCTCTGTTCCCGAGCTGAAAGTCAAAACATTGCACTGCACCAGCTACCAAGAAGGGGAAAAATGACTGCTACTGCTGAACCCAGGACACAAGCCATCTGTAAAGGAAAAGTTAATTAGAAATAAACATAATTAGTGATTATGAGTGAAACTAAATGGATGTTTTATTTCACAGATTGGTTGAAAATAAAGGCCTCGTGGCCAAACACCATTGGTAAGATTGGTGTTCTTTGTGTTTGTTTTAAGAAAGCTTGATGAAGGCAGATATGGCTGTCTTATCTGCTCAATGCAACACATAGAATCATAGGATAGTTAGGGTTTGAAAGGACCTTAAGATCACAAGTTCCAAACCCCCTGCCATGGGCAGTGACACCTCACACTAAACCATATCACTCAAGGCCTCATCCAACACATCTTGCTAATAGCTTTGTTTCATGCAAGTATAAAATGCAATCTGATAAAAATCCAAGCAGATGTGGCCTTCAGGAAGTGATTTCCAAGAACAAAGGAGAAAGGATGAAGGGGTAATCCTGTACATTGTTTCACTGCTGTTCCTCCATCATGAAATGTACAAGTTACTGCCCCCAAAATTGCCAGCTACTGTATGGATTTATACTTCATTAACACCAGAAACTGTAATTTTTTGATTCAGCAGAGCCACTGTTTGGGGAAGGAAACTCTGGGACTAGCCAGATACTGAGTTTTCTGCTTTCACTGCATAATTGAAGTAAAGGCACTTGACTTGGGTTATTAAACTCAGCATGGAAAGGTAGGAAGAACCTTCATGGGAAAGTTAACCTGTCGTTTCTCTGACCAGTTCAAACTTTCCTTTTTTAGGCTTTAAAATGTGTTTGGATTTGTCCTTTAAAACTCCAGATCAGTCTAATTAAAGCAAAATGAATCCTCTTTATTGATTCCAGAAAGATTTAGCTTAACAGCCCTGTCTCTAGAAAGAAGATAACACAACATATTAGGACGTCTTTGCTTTTCCGTGCAGTCGTATCATGCTAGACAAAATAAAAGTTAACTTCTTGTAACCAGCATCACCCATCTCCAAAACCAGACTATCATTCATTTTACTATTCCAGATGCCTCAATGTTGTCTTAGAATGCTGTGACAATTTCAAATCAAGCTACTGAAATGATGTTAATGTATTTTGAGACTGATTATAGTTATGTGGATTTTCTTGAATTAAATTGTTTGTATTGGAAGTTTATTTGAAAAATTAATACCTGTACCTGTGATTTTCAGCATTCTCCCATTCACACTGCTGGCAGTGGTGGTAAATACACTGGACACAGAGGTGGAAGTTGATTTTACAGGAAGCCCTGCACAATACCTATTTGCTAGTTCCTTCCTCTCCACGAGAAACAGAGAAAACAATCTTTGATTGGGCCTTCCAGCATGACCCATAATAGATGAAGCTCTGCTTTCCTGAAGGAAAGGTCATGGCACCATCCTGAAGCTGACAACAATCATCAATGAGATTCTTCACCAAGGTGCATTTTATTTTCTTTCTTTTTCCCTGAGCCTCTCTCTTTATTCTTGCTTGTCACCATAGAAGTTGACAAGATGTAAATTTCATCTTTATTCAATCCTAGATGATTTTATTTGCATTTTAAAAGGCACTCAGAGAGAGGAAAAAAAGATGTTTTGTATCACAATAGGAAAAGGTAGTGGAAGCACCTGCTAATGAAATGGACGCATTTTTAAAGTCCTAAATATACAAATACCAAATAGACAACAATTCTTCATACAACTTCATTAAGATAATTATTCCCTGGATTCCAGATGTCTAAAAAAAAAAAAAAAGACTCAAAGCAAAATTCTGGGTTTGGTCACATTGGAATAATATTAAACCTTTTTTAAATCAGTGATTTAATCTTATTTACATAACTAAATTCAAGTGCAGAACTAGTTGTCATTCTTTGATGGCATATGTCATGTTAGACAAGATGGACATAGATAGCTGTAAAGTATGTGTGCCATGTTAGACACATTGCTGAGGAAGGGTTTAAATTTATGATTTTTCTAAGAACTTCTTCTGGCTGATTTTATTTTAAAATGAGCTTAAGCTTTATTGGGGGAACAGGTACTGTTAATTTAGTCATAATTTAAGGTCTAGAGAAAAGGAAATGTGTAAGATCTAGACAGCATGAGCCAATGTGGTCAGCATTTATATGTCAAAACCATGTTTTAATTCCCAGTCAGTTCAGAAAACATAAGAGCTAGTACATCTACATGGCTGATAGGGGTGTGGTGCAGCCATAACTGAACCAGCTTCCAGTTTAGTTGAGTTGACTGATCTATCACAGCGTCAATGACACCACTTCATGGATCATGTGGTGCCATGCCTTGACTTTCTGAGATACCCATCTATACTTGCTCTATAGAGTACTTCTACAGTGTGGAGAAGTGTCATTTTCATACTTGAGTCAAAGTCTAAACTGACAGTGGTTCAAGCACTGGATAGTTCTGGAATACAGGCTTTTTCCTTCGGGATGTTCTCACCATTGTGATCACAGAATTTATATCAGAAAGATGCTGTAGAGCTTATTTTAAAAAAAAAAGTTACTATTATTTTATATTGAAAATGGTATTATAGTAGGTCATAACATGCTGAACTCAAGCTCTTCTCTGCAGAAACCCTTAGAATAATCCCTAGAAATATTCTTAGAAATAAATCCTTAGAATAATCCCTCAGAAAATTTTCTGAGGGGCTGTGAATCCATTGAAATGTTTTTTTCTTGTGACCATAAATCACTTGCAAATTCAAAATATTGTCTAGAAAATTGCAGAGATGTTTTAAAATTTCAACCTAAATTATGCTAGATGTAGGACTATGGATATAGAAGGGCTTACTTGACACACATTTGCATGTGCAAGAATTGGAAACAGACTATAGCAAATGAACTTGGCAACTGAACTTTGCAAAATATTTGCTTGCAGCCCAGAAGTAATCTTTTGCTTTCATTTTGATTTTTAATTTTCAAATAATAAGGAATATTCTTCCAAGTGAGAATTATTAAGGCTGCATAAAACATTTCTCTGTGGGTTTCTTGTGCATACCATTTCATGGATAGATAAATGGGAATGAAGAAGGTACTTTTTGAGGAGCTTGCTCAGTGATGAGATTGTATGTCACATGGCTAGACATTTGGTCTTTCATGTTGATTGTAGTTCTGTCTGGATTAGTATCATTTTATGAATCACTATTGGTTTTGTTTTCTTTAAACTGAAAAAATCTGACTAGAAACTTGCACAGTGCTTTTGCAGCACAGCTCTATTTTAGAGCCTGATGTCAGGTTTTAATGGCTAAAAAGTTCATTCTGAAAAATTGCCTGAGTAAAAACTTATCAGAGTCTAAAATGTAAACTTGTGAAGACCCTTCTCTACAATATATTCTTAGCAACTTTTAAATTGCAGAAACAATTTCCTTTTTTTCTTATTCAGGTATTTGTAAGCATTTAGTGTGAAGACAACTAAAGATGCTGTGAAAAGAGATAGAAAATAGCAGCCAGCTAGTAATTTTCTTATGATGAGTTTTGGAAACAAGACCATAAGAGCCCATAGTTGTAGTTGTGATCTATGTAACGATTTACCCTGAAAGGTTCTCACAGCTTTAGGCATCCATTCTGCAAGAAACAAGCTAACAAGACCTTTAAGGCATGAATAAAATCAGTAGGGGAAAAATGTTTACCAGCAATCTATGATATTTACTTTGTCCTGAGAATTGAAGGGAAAGGAGCTATTGTTCAAACAATGCCCAGAAATTTTGTTCCAATTCCAGTTCTGCTCAGTTTGATAAACAACGTTTCCTAGTCCTCAGTGCAGCAATAGCTCAGCTTCTCAAGATAGGTAATCAGGCTCAGTTTCAGTAGCGCAAAGTGCTGGATTTTTATCTTTAATTAAAAAGAGGTAACAGAATATATCCTGACAGATTTCAGTGTGCTTATCAGCAAAAGACAAAGTATATCTATATTGCTAACACGCAACTGGCATGAGGATTGTTGATTTAAGTGCAGCCAAGGAGTTTCCGCTATCATTATGTTTCTATAAGCAAGTTTCTTATTTAAAGAGGCATTAGAGAAAGAACAGCTCATTCCAGAAGGAAAGTAGAAGGACTTTGCCTTCTGTCTCACTACAGCTGCCTGAGGAGGATGCCAGCCTTCTCTCTTCCATAACTTCAGAGGAGAAATTCTATTAGAGTCTAAAGAACTGCCTAAACCAAGCAAGTTTACACTATGTTTTAGATGTCTCTGACCTACATGAGAATATTAACACAGTACAAATATGTTCTTTCTTCATAAACAGGGTCTTTCAAGCAGTCAGTTCAATTTAAACTTTGATTGTTTCATTTTGCTTCTGCTGCTTGTAACTCAAAAGATAAGTACAGGCTTGCAGTACCCAAATGAGTGTCAAGCCACACTGAAGAGTGTGTTGAGAGTGAGAGCTGCACTCGGAATATGATTAAAAACTCACTATTTTACAAATTGCTTCAGTTTACCTTCTGAGAAAAGTAATATCTGTAATAAAGAAAGTGGTTTGGAAACCAGTGTTAGCAGAACTGTACTTTCATTATCATCTGGTGTAAATATGCTCTCACAATAACAACAGTTTCCTCTGTATTTAGCCACATCAATTTGATATTACTAGGATTTGTATGGGTGTTATTTGCAGATAAGCATGTGTAGGAGTTTTGCCTCCTTTGCTAACTATGCCCATATACCTGAAAGTAATGTCTGTGAAAGACAGTGACAAAATAATGTCTGTGGAAAGACAATGACTATTTAAATTCATGGCTGTGCTAAAAACACTGCTTGAACCTTAAAGTTCCCCAAAATCCCTGCCTACTGAGACTTTGCAGCAAATACACACCGAGATATTTTCAAGCACTTAGAAAAAGACATGTAGAAGGACCATGTTACATGGCAGAGATAAGTAGGGTGCACTGAGCATTGTTAGCATATGTATGATGAATGGAGAAGACCCATGATAAGTAACAGAACTAATTTTTAGCTGGGCAGTAGTGGAAGATTGACACCAAAACCATGCCTTGATTTTTTCAGTTTATAGGCTGGGAATTTTTTGTTGTTTTCTGACATTTTGTGCTAAAAACTAATACATCTCACACTTTCTTTCCCTAATCAGCATATACTTAAAATTGTTACCTATTGTATTATTTCTCACATCTATGTTAAACAACTTCAGTGTTTTCTGTGGCAATTCCTTGGGGGGGCAGTTAAGCCAACATAAGCTCTGCTACACTTCAGTCATAAGAAGCTGTAGTAGAAGCATAATCTGCTTTGTCGGTTAGCACCATCCTTCCCACACTTCTCCTAGTGAAGAATTCCCCTTTGCTTCCAGCTGCAGTTTAACTTGGAAATTCAATGCAAGACCTTTAAAAAAGGAGCAAATAAATGCCCTCCTTCTGCAGATCATGATTCTTCTCCTGCCTGCCATGAGTCTGGCATAGGTAACAGTACAAATTTCATGCTAGTACAGGTGAATAACGGCCATGTCGCTTGCAGTGAATCACAGTGCACGCTAAGGGAAAAAGAATCTGAGTAAGACTCTTCCCAATAATTTCGTAGCAGGAGCTCATGTGTAACAGCAAGCTCTATTAGGCTGAGTTTAAAACTGAGCTATATTGTCAGTATGAACTGGAACCTGTCAGGCACTTACCAAGCACAATATTAGAAGTCTTGTGTTGCTGATTTTTCCATTTCAGTACCTTTAAACAAACCTTACTCTCACCAATTATGTAAGTTGAAATGTCCCCCCGAGACATCTCTTGTAGAGATTGAGAGACAGATGCATTAATGTTTTGGTAAGCAGTAGATGAAACGAATGTATACCTGATTACTAAAAGCACACTGGGAAATTGAAATGAGTGATCTGCACAGAGGTGGGAGACTGATGATACTGAAAGCTAAATTGGAGGAAGATTAAGCAGTTTGTGTATCAGTGAGCACTGAATATCTAAAAGCATGCATGGAAATTAGGACAGCAGAGTGAAGTGGCATAAGGGAGTCAGCAATATGGCCTGCAAAGGCAGCTTAGGGCTAAATTCTGGCCTTATCTCCAGATACACATAGTAAATGGCTGCTGGCTTCCTGTCC